TGACTGAGCTGCTGAGTAGCATTTTGGTGTCCATCGCGAAATCTGTAAAGCCTAAAGGCGCCGCCCATGGCGGCTTGTGTTGGCTGCTCTTCAGACTCTGTTTGATTGGGATGAAAGATCCTGCGTTAGCGACACCCCCCCTTCATCTTCTGTAAGAAATTGTGGAGGTGGCGTGCGATTGGGGCTTACTATCGTAGAAACGAGCGTTTGTCTGATACAAGTTCAAGCTGCACAAGATCCTGCGGGCATGGGACTGGCTGAAGACGGTGTAGGCATGGAATCCGGACAAGTGAGTGGTTCATGCTCTTCGTGAACTTGCCTTTCATGAGACGTCATGGTGCAAGCTTGTGGAAATGATAAAAGAGGTTCGATTGCCTGAACAATCACTTTGATGATGGGGTTCGAGCGACAGCAGACTCAGAATGCAAGGATTGATTGATCAGCAACTCCCCCGATGTAGGTTGTTGTTTTCACGGCCTCATCATGGTCCATAGGGAATCTTGAGCTGTGAGAAACGTGTGCGAATCTCCAAATACTCCCCTCTATTAAGGCCGGATCTTCCTGAAAGAAACTCGTAGTTGTATTTCAAAAGAAGCCTGTGAATTGCAAGGATGCATTTTGAAAGTGTCTCAAGATGGTCGGCAGTCCTTGAGAGAAAGTTGGGTCTTGCGATTCCTCCGAAATCTGGTTATCATGCTTGTACTTTTGAATGTTCCTATCTTCTTGTATCATTGAATGGTTTCTTTCTTACCCGCTCGACTACATTCCTTATTGTGAAACGGAGTATGTGTCCTGCTCCATGACTGTTTTGGCACTTCATATGCATCGCAAAGTCGTTCTTCGAATATCCAAGTGGCACACAGATGCATCACATCCTTGATTCTAGAGCTTGTCAATGTTACACAAGAGGAAAGAGCAGACGTTGATGGTTTGTGGTTGATGGTTTTGTTTGTAAACTTCTCAGGAATAAAACTCTCCTGTAGAGAAGTTGTTGAAACGATCTGAAGCTGGGACCAATTTTCTGTTTTTGAATTTTGATGAGCCTAGCATTGTCAATGTTTATTGGGTTGTTTTGTGCACAGCTATGTGTTCAGATCCCCAGATTTTGCCCAAGCAACATCCAAAGTTTACTTCATGGCCCTCTCCTTTCTCTTATTGTGCTTGTCTCACGCCAACTCTTGCAGGGCTCACCCGCAGAAGAACAAGGTTTTCTGGAGCGCTGTGTGCTTGTTGTCCTGGGCGTCTCCAGTGCTTTGCTTGTTCAAGTCAGGCGTGCGCCAGGAGTGGGCCCTGTTGTTGCAAATGTTGAGGATGCTCTGCTTCCTTATGCGGCATCAGCTGAGGAGCATTTGAAACAGCATGGCAAGCCGCTTCTGACTTTTGGGGATAAGCAGGTAAGGATTCTACCTCCTGAAACAACTTGTTTTGCATTTGTTAGTAAACAAATCTTGTTGAGGCAAGTCTGCGAGAGTACCCCTTAGAGTACCCTGACGACCGTTCAAGGCCTTACGAACTTGGTTAGCCAGCTTTGGATAGATTTAGCATCTTGCCTTCTTTTTGAAAGATGCTGAGGCAACATAAATTAGCCAACAGGGACTTGCTACTTACACAACGTCTTTTGCAAGTGTTTATACAGGAGGATCCAAAATAACTTGATCTTTTTGAAGAGAGAGCAGCTGCGAGCCCTATCCTCTTGTGGTTCACCAATCTTAGTACATGCTTCTTCTTCTGTGCAGCTTCATAACCTCTACACGCTCGTCAGATCTGCTTTCCCGGTTGTTTCGCCCGTCCTGGAGACCGCCTCCTCTGTGTCCGATTCTGCCCTCTCCGTCATGTCTGACGCTGCCGCTTCGGCAAAGTCGAGGGGTTTCATTGCAACTGGGGTGACTCTGTACGACCAATACAAGCCAGCAGCTACGCGGAGAGGCGAGGCTGCAGCGCAGTACTTGGAACGTTTTCCTGTCGTGGCGACCGCGGTGCCTTTGATGAGGTATGAAACGAATCAATCAGTCCCTCTGATCAGTCTTCCCTGCTTGCAACTTCTATCTTCTTGAGTCTCCCTTCTTTCAACACGGCTCGTCGAGCGCCATAGTGCAGTATTGTCACAGTGAGTCGAGTTTCACTGCCAAAGTCAACTTTTACTGACCCCAATCTGCTGATACAGGTGTGTCGGAGCAAAGGTCAGTGGGGTGATAGACTGGGCTGTTGACACCGGTCGACCCAAGCAGGACTCTGACCAGTCCGACACCCCTTCTGAGACTCCAAAAGCAGGTAAGGCAAGATCGTTCCAGCAGAAGACCACTACTAAAGACCGTTTCTATCACGGCACTGCATAAGGAACCAGTGTCGCTAAGAAGAGTTTCGTTCGGGTGAGTTATCACAGGGGTGACTACTGCAGATCTTTGTGTTCAGCTTTTCTAGTGCGTGCTTCTTGACTCTTTGCTCAGTTTCTCATGGGGAGCAGACTCGTCTGTGAAGATAGAAGCCATCTAAGCATGCTTTAGAAACATCCGTTTGCAATGTTAGGGTAGATGGGGACCGCTTGAGTTTCACTAAACAAAGCTGTTGCCTTCAAAAGGCACGTAGTTTTGTTGGACTCAGTTGAGGAGTTCGAGTCTTGCTGGCAATCTCCTTAAAACATACATCCGGGACCCCAGCACGTCCCATACTGCTCGGGGCTCGGAAGAGAATGCAAGGCTTGAGTCAACTCGGAGAATTTGGTTAGTCCGTCCTGAGTTCGTCATTCTCAATCGCTCACATGCTGTGTATGGAAGACTCAAATCTCTTGCATTTTTTCGTCGTTTCTCCAGAAGACAATATCGGGGAAGAGGTGGCACCGGCGGAGAAGACTGAGGTGGCCACCGCTGTGCCGGAGATAACGGACAAGGACGTGGGAATGGTCGACGAGGACAAGTCGACGGCGCATGAAAGCAGTCCGAAGGGAAGCGTTCCAGGAGCTAAAGAGCTCGACGATGTCGTCCCTGTCGAGTCTCTCTTTGAAAGCTGGACAACTGGAACGCGGTCAAGGAGAGGCAGCGTGGTCGGGACTGCTGTCAAGTGAGCGTCATGCTGCAAGTAATGTGTACATTGTGTTGATACATGAAGGAACGTGCGTCAAAATGTTTAGGGGCTGGTTCATTGGTCAAATGGAAAGAGTTTTACTATGGCCAGAAACGGACGCGCTGCCGCTCGCAGCTATTGGATACTATAGCAGATTAAGCTTAGTGCTGGTCCAAATGGCGAAGTTCGCCGAAGAGAATATTGCCATTTTTACGTCTTGTATTAGCGAGCTGGTTTGGGGTTCGTGTCTTTCTCAGGGGTGTACGGAGCTGGCAAAAGCTCATTCCACGGAGTAGTTTCTACATCATTCTTGGATATTCAATTCTGTAGATTCAGCATAGGTTAGGGCAGGTCTTAGAAAATAACAATACATAGTACTCTGTTGAAGGACGTTTCTGAAGGCGGCGTATGATACTGTAAAGTACCTTGAAGTTGCAAGTTATGTATATCGGGTTTGGCCCCAGATCAAATATCCATGGCCTGCTTGGCAGTAGAAAATGTGGAGTTTGATTGTTTTAACATGCAATTCATGGCACGACCTACTTTTCATGACATTTGATGCCGCTTAAGTAATTCAATTGCTAGCTACAGTAGTATCCAATTTCCGTCGCGTCATGCAGCCTGGCTCCGCCTGCTATATCTCTCATGCAAGCACGATGATCTATAGCTAACTGACGGTACGCGTGCATTTTGAGAGCCGCAACCATATATATGTGCGTGCACATGCCCTATAGTGCACAGCCACCGTCAGCATAATTATCACCACAATGATCTTGCAATCGAAGAAGGGACGTTGGGGACCATATGTCACATGTATACCGTATACATACGTCGTTTCCAGACCCTGCCTTGCTTTTCTCCAGTTCTTTAAGTTAGCTAAGGTATGGACTTGGCTAAGAGGCTTGTTGAACACAAACCTCGTGAACTCGATTGCAGATATTGCATTGATCAATTGAGGCAGGCTGGATACAATGCAGTGGATCTTCGAATGCAGTTGACCCTACAAAAGGTCATTTTACAACTGTTGCTAGTTTCAGGGACAACTTATTCTACCATACAGGAAATGTGGGCACCCCTTACTAACCTCATCTCAGAGGAGACCTACAGCTACTGTAGCTGACTGTCGACATGGATATTACAGAGGTTCTTGCCAAAAACAACCGCTAGAGTGGCCATATGGACAGGGCGCTCCGAAGCAAGTTAGAGTTTATGCAGCTTGGACGTTTGAGGAGCGGCCCTTGCCGTCTCCGGCTATTGTGTATCCACTTGGGAACTCTTGACTATATCCCCGTCCTCTTGCCCCACCCAAATCCTGACCGTCTTATCGATATCCAGCGCTCCCGATGCAATCATACTCTTCGATGGGTGACACGCAACCGCAAGAACCATATCCGTATGCCCCGTCAGCTTTTGGACGATTTGCCGACTTCGAAGGTCCCAGATGTACACCATGTTATCTTCTGATCCACTGACAATATACTTGCCCTTCGTGACGGAGAAAGTCGCAAACACGCAGTATTTGGAGTTCTGGTGCCCCGAGTATGTTTTCAAGCACTTGCCTTGGCTGTAGTCCCATAAACGCTGCAAGGTCAAGGGCGAGCTGATCATTGTGATGGCCTTGGCAATGAAGTAGAAGGGAACTAGTCAGAAGTTATGGTCCATCAAGCGAATGACTTTTTCCAGTGATGGTAAGAAGCCTGACAGCAGAAACCATGTTCATGAAAGGAACTCAATAGAAGGCAGCTTGCTCTCATGTCAAAACTTCCTTTCTCCAAGAGATGTAGAAGTCCTGGACATTGATGTGCATTACATGAACTTTGTTGATAACTACTTTTAAGGCTTCTGTATGCTGTAGTCAGCTGCAAAGAGACGGCCCCCTTCTCCTGAACTTTGGTCTAGAGGCCGATGCTTTCGAAATAAAAGTCCCGTCCCTTGCATCTGAGATGGGTACTACAAACACCATAGATTCCAAATGCCCCCGACTTCCTGTGATCCTCTTTCCATCACAAACCAGACGTACCACCTAATCAGCATATTCCAGAACATCTTGTATCTGTCACAAAGCCTGGACTTCAATGCAAGCCTTCTGAGTTTTCTTTGGATGACAGGCACTCACCAGGAGTCCGTCGAGCGTGCCAGCCAAGATGAACTTGCCATTCGGAGAGAACTTGACGAACGACACGGGCGGGTTCGACTCGTCGATGATGGTCTTCAGGCAATGCCCCGTGCTCGTATCCCACACCCGACAAAGGCCGTCGTAGCTGGAGGACACTATGAGCGACCCGTCCTGATTGAACTGGACTGCTGTCACAGGGTCAGAGTGCGCAGGAAGCTCCTTCAGACACTTGCCAGTCTTCACATCCCACAGCCTGACAGTCTCGTCAAATGAGCCCGAGACAACCTGGTTGGACTGGGGGTTGAAGTTGCAGCAGAAGACGTAATTGGTGTGCCCCTTGAGCGTCTTGATGGTCTCCTTTTTCTCCACATCCCAAAGCCGCAGCGTTTTGTCGTCCGAAGCAGAGCAAATGAATCTGGAGTCGGACGACCAGGCAACGTCCGAGATGCCCTCAGAATGGCCCCGCAGAACCGCGTGCTCAGCGCCTGTTTCACAGTCCCAGATTCGGATGGTCTTGTCTGCAGATGCGCTAGCAAGCCACTTTCCATCTGGCGAAAACTTCACGCTGGAGACGGCCCGCTCATGGCCCTTGAGAGTAAACTTGCACTGGTAATTTGGACTCCCAGGTGTTGTCGCGGAGCCTGTGGCCCCTGGATCACTCATTGCTTCCTATTACAATCACAATCTAGTAGATTAGAGGGACCGCTTAGTTTGGAAAATCACCATTCAGCAGTTTGAAGAAACTGGTTGGTTTTTACTAATAACAACCTAGCAGACTGGAGAAAATGGTTGCAAACCAGGTCAGTTACTCCCAAATGAGGTCACTGTGGTTGCTTGCAATCGATTGTGAAAGAAGATCACCACCAGCGAAGTAGAGCGCCGCAGTGTTTCTCAACAAGCTTTGCTTCCTTCAGTTGGATCTAAAAGGGCACCCTGCACACGCGCTTGCTGGAGTACTGCTTGACAATTGGGACGTGCTTTACATCAGGTGCAAACTCATTACCAAAATGCGCCCTTCCACAATACTGTCAGTGTTATATCTAAAAGTGACGAAGAGAAGCAGGAGAAGTGCCAAGTTGAAGAAGTGCGTACGTGCATTCAGACTTGAACAGTTCTCTGGTGATCAGGATGCATCATGCAACCAGTTAACCCAATTTGGTCAACTTGCCGCCGAGAAGAGTAAACCAAAGTTAATACCATAGGTTTAGAAACCATAGATGCATCGGTCAATCACAGGTGTGGTCCCACTCACAAGCTACAGCCGAGAGATACAAGGGAAAAGAAGAGAGAAAAGAAGAAAAAGGAGAGATATACGAGAGTGTTTTTTAGCTTTATAAGACGACATCAGGAATACCAAACGGCCCCAGATAGCCGTTCGATACAGAGCCTGATTCATCCTGACCGTCCGATCTCCAAAAAGTCAAGAAGTGACGAACAAATGACGTTGCATCAGATTCTATTTTCGGCGACTCGGACCCCGGTCTATGATCGACACGTGGTCTTTTTGACACGCGGCCCAATCAAATTGCCGGATTTAATGTCATGTCGCATACTGAGTGGGACCGAAAAGCGTGAGTGGTACCAATTGTTTAACACAATGGCCCGGTTGCAAACTTTCTCACTACCAACCTAGACTAATTGGATCCTGGGGAGATGCCCCGAGTGGAAGCTCTTTTAATTAAATATAAGGTGGTAGGACGGTATTCGACAGTGGGAGCACATTCAAAACCCTATATCTTCATCTAGACATCATGGAATCGCATTCCGTTTTTTCGAGGTGGTTGGGGGCATTGAAAGGCATCTTTAGGAGCCCCTCAACCTGTGATACAACATGCCAAAGCAAATCGAAGCACATGATAAGTTGGCAAAATGTGCAGTTTTCGCTGCAGGAACCCCCCGGCAAAACGGGGGCAAAACGGCTTTATTGGAATATTTTTGAAAGATAGAATTTGCTCGGAAGGGAGGCATTCAACATGGGGGGAAGATGGGATGTCAGAACA